TTGCATTAAGGAATTTCACATTGTGTCTTCTTGTATTTATAAACTTCTTTTCATATGTGAAATAACCGAAGCAGAGATATATTGCACTTATAAGTCATTTTATGAGTAACAACAATTCTAAGGGAAATCTATACTAAAGGGAAGGAAGTATTAATTTATAATGTACGAAAGATACCAGAGTTTTCCTACCATAAGGCATAGCATGTCATACCCTGTATTGTGTAATGTATTAGTTGCAGTAATTACAGCGAAGCCAGCTTATAAGGAATAGCCATCATTGTTTATTGGTAATAACTGAATCTATATCTGTCTCAAGAGAAAAAAATAGATAAGGAACTAGATAAAGAAGAAAAGCAAAAAATAAAAAACAAAATGAAAAAATTAAGAAAAGCAGAAGAAGAAAATTACAAAAAAGGAAGAATAAAAAAGAAGAGATGGAAAATAAAAAATAAATTATAAAAAAAATGAGAGAAATAGAAAAAAAAAATTAAAAAAAAAGAAAAAAAAAAAGAGAAAAATAAAGAACAAATCGGAAAAAAGGGAATACAAAGAAGAAAAAAAAAAAAATAAATAAAATGATTAACAATAAAAAAAGGAAAAAGCTAGCAGAAACAACAAGAGGAAAAATTATAAGAAAATAGAAAAAATAAGAAGGAAGCAGAAAAGAAAGAAAAGAAAGAGAACCCTAATAATTCCTCCGATGTTGCTTGTGTGAAAACCGCCCATGACACACGGGTGAAGCCTCTTTATATTTTATACCAATCACGGAACTATTTAGTCCCTGTATATTGAGTAATACTACTACGAAATTAGTCATAAGGGGTTTTATTAACAACCTCTTTCTTGTATTATATTTTGTATGTCCATTCTGCAGCGTAACTAAAGTGGCTCCATATAAAAAATACATTCACTCATAAAGTTAAAAGTGCCTTCTAAAGTTTATTCATATATTTCTGCAAATGTATGCAAATCCTACATGAATATGAAGGACAGGCTCTTTACAGTTATCACAAGATTCCTCAAGCAACTCACTCGTTTCACTTACTGTACACCCGAATACGTCATTCTGCACAGGAGGATCATGACTCCCCAGGACACATATTATACAAAATCTGCAGAACGAATTAGTGAATAAAGGCCTGATAAACGTCTTGGAAAACGGATGGATGTCGTATCAGCCAAGAATTCTTTCAATTCTTACGTAGTCTCCTCTACATATTACGATGGATTGGATACATGAAATGAGAAAGATCCTATGTTTCCGCAGAATTGTTAAAAATATACATTTTCAAGAAACAGAATCGATGCAAAGGTGCTAACTGTCCATTCCACAGTCTATGGAACCATAGAAATTTTGAATTGAACGTTAATTCTGACAAGAATCATTATGAGGAATCAGCCGATAGCTGAAATCTCACCAGGGTTTTATGCATTAGAGGCTTCATTAATGATGTCGAATTGGGGATATTACAATTTCAGGGAAACTTATATAGAGAAGTTACCTAATCACTCCGCATCCTCAATAAAGGTTTAGACTGGAATCTATCATAAGGAATAATGATAAAATTTCCAAAAGTTATTTCAATCACAGATGACCTTTCCGCATATACAGTGCGACACACCTGAAGAGAAATTGTTATCTTGCATGAACAAACCTTAGGTTAGTTCATTGGTCACACAGTGTGGTTATGTAGACATCCCTAGATATATTACATGGAATACACTAAGGCCACACTGCTATGGGGAGTCTTCTTCTTTCACTCCTTCATATACTTATGGCCATTCATACAATTCCTACTATTCTCTCCATAACACTCGGCTTGTTTCATGCTGACTGAAACTTCTGCAAACTGTTACACTTCCCCTTCGTACATACATACTTTCAACCTATTATAATTTAAGAAAAAAAAGGACAGATAAGGGTTCAACACATTTCCTTAATGAATACTTAAGATACATGTATCGCCCATTTGGTCGATTGTCTTAAATACGATTCCCAGACGGCCCATATATTCGCAACATAATTACGGAGTCGGCTTCCCCTTCATTTATATCTTCCTATCGTACATAATTACTAAATAATGAGAAATTATTATTTCGTCCTATAGATACCTCTTTCCCATTAGTAAGCTCCTTATGCGATCTATTACTCTTTAGTAATATCTACATCTAAGAGTCATCGCAGAAAGAGATTCAGTCCATCCTATTTTATCTTGCTTCTTCATATTTTCCTCATTTTGGGTGCAACGCAGGCTTAACACGACTTGAGAAAACATCTCATTTTAGCACAGTTATTTGAACATGTTGATACTCCCCCAAATTACACATCTTCCGTCCCGCATTTTTCAAAGAAGGACATGATATTGGAATTCATTCTAATTACAATACATCAAGGGAGCTGTAA